TTATTTATCACCTACTATTGCTGATGGTCTAGAAATGGTTAAAATTGGTTTGTAAAGTGGTCTATCTCATCCTTCTTTCTCCCTATCACACAAAAAGGTAACTTACTATTATTCCTGTTTATTGGGGGTTATTGGGTGGTTGTTGTCATTTTTATTTTGATTATGTACTTTGTGGTTTTATATTCTGATTTTATCCTGTGAACTGCCCTGAGACCCATGGGTATAGGACAATATATTAATAATAATAATAATAATAATAATAATAATAATAATAATAATAATAGTAATAAAGCTGAACCAACATACCAGCTGGTAGTTTCACAGTGAATAAAATATGTAGGAAACTAAACTACTGCTGTTAAATTAAGACTAAGTGCATGAATTAATAAACTACTGTGACTAATGATAGATTTTTAAGCAAGATGGTCCCTGTGCAAAGGAAACATGGAGCTGCAGACAGAGACATGGGATTGTACTGGCAAGATCTGTTCCCCCAATCCTATGCACACTTTGTCAGAAGTAAGCTCACTGTCTACAGTGGGATTTACTCACAATGAAAAGTGCGTAGGATAATAGACTGGTTCTGTTGTCTCACTTAGCTGTGGACTGCAGTGGACAGATGAGGGACTCTCTAAGTCTTCAGATCATTGTGGCCAGGTATTGCAAGAGACAGAAATACTGCACACCTGAACATTTTTAAAGCGTCCATGTGTAAGTAGTGTATGTTTCATATTCCACTACCACACTCATCCTTTTCCAGTTATTTGGAAAATAGCTGAACCATAGTAATCATTAAGCTGTCCAGTCTTTTCATTCTCACTGCTGCATTGTATACTTTTCATTGTCAAGGAATGGATATGAGCTAACATGCACAATGGACATAAAGAGAAGTCCTGGTGATGTGCTGACGGATTCCCCTCTCCACTGGGAATTGGTCTTTGAGCATTGCACCAACTGGCTCATCAGGCTCCCCTTCGAAGCTCTTGTCAGGAAAATGGTCAAACGTTACCCATCATTGTCAAACCCTGCCTTTGTTTTCAATGAGCTCGGGGAGCCATTTTAGTTCTGCTGTGCAGTGGTGCAGAAGAGCATGGACTTTTGTTACTGAGGCTCACTTTGGTTCCTGAGGTCAATTACCTCACAGTTGCCAGCTTCGCAAATTCTTCAGTCTTCTTCCATTGAAGCATCATCACCGTAAAAGAAGACTCCCACTCTTTCATGTATGTCCTTCCTTATCACTATGCTTCACTGCCAGTCAAAGACTCCTTTGAAAAGAGTGAATTAAACTGCCACAGCGACTCTCTTCAGGGAGTACTGCCAACTGTTTTCCCCTCCATTTTGGAGAAAGGTGCACTGGTGTTCTTTCTCCCCTCCTCTTTCCCCCCCTTTTAAAGAAAATCTCTTTCAAGAGAGGCCTGGAGGCATAATACCTGATCTGCCACAACTTCAAAATATGCTACTCTATGGGACCACTTCTCACAAGGAATAATAAGATATGGACACCTGAGTACAAAACAGATACCACGTCAAATACAAAGGGCACATATGTGGTTTTAAATGATGAAATGGGAGAGTCTTTCTTGCTTATAACTTCTGTGAGAAGGACCAAAAGCAACTAATGAGAAGCCCAACGTATCTCATGAAATGCAGCCTTCATCTAACTTTCCTAAACTTTGTCAAAATATCTGTAGTTGCTTTATTTAATGGGGACTGTACAGTGGTACCTCGGGTTAAGAATTTAATTCATTCCGGAGGTCCGTTCTTAACCTGAAATTGTTCTTAACCTGAGGTACCACTTTAGCTAATGGGGGCCTCCTGCCGGCGCACGATTTCTGTTCTCATCCTGAAGCAAAGTTCTTAACCCGAGGTACTATTTCTGGGTTAGCGGAGTCTGCAACCTGAAGCATCTGTAACCCGAGGTACCACTGTACAGTTTATTAAGGGTTGCTGGGAATTTTAACTCAGTAAACTACAATGCCCAAAATTCATTGAAAGAAATAATGTATTTTAGATTATACGTTAGAGGTATACTGTGTACACAGTCTAGTTCTCTGATCACTTTGCATTTAGCAGTCACACTGGCCATCTGATCTGGATTGAGGCCATTATGGCTGGACTGAGCTGGGCTCCGATTTCTTGAAGGTTTTGTTCCTGTGTGAAAGAAACTTCCATTTTTGTTTCATTCTCAGAACACTTTAGAATTTTGGTGGGGTGGGACTTTACATTTACCTTACTGTTGTGAAGTGGCTATGGGTGGGGCATGTCAACTTCCTTAGTGTTTGGAAAATGAGCTAAGGCTCAGTCTAATGAACCACTGCAGATGATTCAGAGTTCAGGCCAGTTTGATCTGATGAAAGCTGCTGGATTGTTTGCTTTTGATTCCAGAAGTAATGCACACATGTTACAAAGGCTGGAAACAAAACAGAGGCACAGACTGATAGACTAAACACACAAATATGCTTCTTGGTCTCAGTCTCCTTCTTGCAGGTGGATGTTCAAGTTGGAGAAAATAGCAGGAGTCAGCAGAACTCTGAATACTTGCCCATTGCCTCAGGTAGCTGTGTGCCTTACCTTACAGAGGGCAGCCATCTGTTTGAAGGGCTATCAGAGGACCAACCTGTAACTTAAGGTCTGTATAGTCCAAGTTGGGTTTATAGATAAAGAACCTTAGGGAGAGAGAGGAAGGGCACTGAGGTTGACCAACATCAGTCAGCACCTGCACAGCAAACTAGTAGGCACACAGGTCAGTCTTCCCTGCTATGGTGAAGAGCTAGAAGACTCTATCATCTATCTATCTATCTATCTATCTATCTATCTATCATCTATCTATCTATCTATCTATCTATCATCTATCTATCTATCTGTCTGTCATCTATCTATCTATCATAGGTAAAGATAAAGGTACCCCTGCCCGTACGGGCCAGTCGTGTCCGACTCTAGGGTTGCGCACTCATCTCGTTCAAGAGGCCGGGAGCCGGCGCTGTCCGGAGACACTTCCGGGTCATGTGGCCAGCGTGACTAAGCAGCATCTGGCGAGCCAGCACCAGCGCCGCACACGGAAATGCCATTTACCTTCCCGCTATAAAGCGGTACCTATTTATCTACTTGCACTTAGGGGTGCTTTCAAACTGCTAGGTGGGCAGGAGCTGGGACCGAACGGCGGGAGCTCACCCCGCCGTGGGGATTCGAACCACCGACCTGGTGATCAGCAAGTCCTAGGCACTGAGGTTTTACCCACAGCGCCACCCGCGTCCCTATACACACAAAATAACACACACCCTTAACACACACTAAGCACATGCACACAGAGAATCACACAAAGTTAACATGTATAACTGCCTTGAGATCTTATGATGAAGGGCGGTACATAAAGCTAAATAATAATAAGCCTAAAAAACTGGATGGAATGAACTGCTCCACAGTAACTGAAGGAATCTGTACTTTGACATCATGGCCAGCACTATGCTATTGGCCCCAGATCAGGAAGTAAATTGTCCCAAAGGAACTCACCCCGTTGCATGGATTCAAACTGTCGACCTTCTGATCAGCAAGCTCAAGAGACTCAGTGGTTTAGACCACAGTGCCACCCCTTGACATAGGATGGCATCTTGATTTAAAGTATTATGCTGCCTGCCCAGGCCTGCAGACTTTCCATTTTGTTTAAAATTGCTTCCATGGCTTAATTGCCTACTCTGAGTGTGGAAAGGAACAACCACAATTGACATCATTCACAAACTCCTACAACTCACAGAAGCTAGCTCATTAGTTCTTGCTGAAAACAAACAAAACAGAATGCTTTTACTAAGTAGTAGATTGATTGTCTCTATTTTCAAAGTAGCACAGCACAGACATAATTAGCCCATTATCCTAAAAAATAAATAATTCATTATAAAAGAGAACAAACATAATGCCACAATTGTTAAGCTTTCTGGATAAGACCAATATGGGTGCTCGGCTTATGTAATTAGGGCAATTGACAGCCTAGCTTTGAAGAGAGACAAATGTATATAAATCAATCCACTCTTGCACACACCTCCAGCCGTCCAATGTGATATTTCACACATAAATCCACATTTCTCATATTCAGGGGCATAGGAAGGGGGGCGGGGGGCCCCACCCACCCCAGGTGTCATCCCTGAGGGGGGTTGACAAAATCCCCCCGGTCAGATCACCATGTCACCCCCCTGGGCGCCGATCGCAGTGCTGATCGCCCCCAATGGGCAGCTTGCACCACCGCCCAGATGCACGGCATGTTTGCCACTCCGGGTGCCCGAGCAACTAGCTCTGCTACTGCCCCTATTGTGAAGTAATCAAGTGCAACTCCAGTATAAACTTGGGCTGCATATGCACTATGCCTTTTGAACGCATTTGAATCACATTCCTTTCACCAAAGAATTCTGAGTACTTTAGCCCTCAATTCCCAACAACCCTTTACAAACTAGAGCCCATTATTTTTTAAGGTGGGAAATGTCCTTTGAGTATGCTTTAAAGCGATTGTGTGTGCGCAGCAGTTTGGAGGATCAAAGAAGTGACAAAGAATTTAATCTGTACTATACAGTACCTTAAAAGGGAAAGCCACCAATATTTTGGGAGAGCACCTGCTACCTTTCAATAGCTATCATAAAATCATAGAACTGTTGAGTTGGAAGGGTTTCCAATGGTTACCTACTCCAGCTCCCTGAAATGTGTACCCATGGGAACCTGAAGGACCAGGAGATCAAAACTGATAGTCAACAGGCTAAGGCCAGGGTCCCCAAACTGTCATGTGGTGCATGAACTTGTGGTAACCCACAAATTCCCTCAGGGAGACATATTTGATGGCTTTTGCTCACTGTGAGGGTCTGAACAGTCATCATACGTACGGTTAGGAAGAAAGACCACTCCCCGCCCAGGTCAGATGGACCATACACCTAAGCCAGTGTTGATTCCATAGAATCGTAGAGTTGGAAGGGACTGTGAGAGGCATCTAGTCCAACCCTCTGCAATGCAGGACTCTATTTTGCCCACCATGGGACTTGAACCCACGACCCCAAGATTAAGAGTCTCATTCTCTACTGACTGAGCTATTGTGCAGATCCTAATTGCTTCCAGGGGGAGCCACAGTGGTGCTGTTCAGATGTTGCTGGACTTCAGTCCCACCATCCCTGAACATTGGCTGGTCTTGCTGTGGCCAATGGGAATTTGAGACCAACTACATCCATGTTGACTACAGCTGGGTTAAACTACAGACAACTTGGGCATGGTGGTCTAGCTGTTTTGTTAGGCTTGGACTAGATGGATTTTCAGTCTTTTCCAATACTACAATCCTTCTTGTGATTTGTCTCCAAGGATGACCACAGCAACACTGTTAACAATGGAAAATGATCTTTGTGTAGCCTGAAAATGCCCATTGTGTAAATGTCACCTCTTTTGTATTATCATTTATAAACATGTATGATTTGTAGCTCTGTTTACATTATGCTCGGTTTTTAAGCCATCAAGAGTTCAGCTGATGTTTTGCAAATGTAGGTTAGATGATATAAATAGGTTATACATAAAATATTGGATGCTAATAATCCAAACTTCATTGAGGACTAAGTATATCTATATCAGGCATCTCCAAACTCAGCCCTCCAGCTGTTTTGGGACTACAACTCCCATCATCCCTAGCTAACAGGACCAGTGGTCAGGGATGATGGGAACTGTAGTCCCAAAACAGCTGGAGGGCTGAGTTTGAAGGTGCCTGATCTATATGGTTGGATCCAGACCCAGTTAGTTGAACTCAGATTCTATTGAAATCAACGGGACCTAAGTTAAGTTAAGTGAGCTTGGACACCAAAACATTCCCCTTTCAATGTAATTTAGGTTATTAATATCCAATCAGAATATACACACATGAAGTATTTCACCCTGAGTATGTTTAAATGACTTGTCGGATGGCCGTTCTTTTAGAAGGCAAATGGTTTGGTATCACTTGGTATTCCATTTGCTGCGTGATATAAACTTGCTCAGTAGCTTACAAAAAGAAATTTCAAAACAGACTGAAATCACTTTCTCCCCTTTGGGAACAGAAACAATTCATATCATTACACCCAGAGCTATGTTAGCGGTTTAGCACCAGATGTTCCTTCCCTGTTTACGGGGAAAGGGGGAGGAAATAGGCAGATGTGGAAATGGGCTGAGGTAGCTATGAGGAGGGAATAGCAACTGCGCTGTATTTTATAGCTTCTCATTACTGTGGAACTCTCTGTCAATGAATACTGAGTTTTGCACAAAGCCGAGATTGCACAAATAATGCTCACGGTAATTTACTATGCTCATAGAGGTTTCTATAATTCATGGCAGAGTGCTGCAAATTTCAATAATGGCCTGCTCAGCATTAACCCCCACTGTGGCATTATCCTCCTGTGACAGGAGCTGGAACAACCCATCACTCTTGCTCTTATTTTGACAGGGATTGAGAAAGCCTGGCGTTTGTTATGTTGCTGTGAATTTCACTTCCTCTTCACTAGCTAGTTTAAAGGAATCAACCAGCCCCATGACCTACAACTCATCACTGGGTTTTAGGGCTCGTTCCAGTCCCCACGCACAGGCTGCTAAACAACTCAAGAGGGAGTGTGTGGGATTAGAGACATGACAAAATTTTGCCCATCTTATCAAAATTCTCACCTCCTCTGTGAAAAATTTGTCAGGTATTTTACTTGAAGATGGACATTTCAAATTCAGTTTCACTTTAGGTGAATTTGAGCATCTGCTTGATTTCGACGTTTATTGAAAACTCTCCTTTCTCCCAGTAGCCAATTTATTTCCACAGGTTTTAGTTCCTGTCAGTTTTTATGCTCTAATACTATGATCTGCATTACTGCATTTATACAGTATTCCGTTTCTGTACCTCCCCCCCCCCCTTTCGTGCTGGTCTGTTGTTTAATTATTTTGTGTTTTGTATTTTTGTATTTTATTTTCAGGTGGAGTTGTTTTTTTATTGGAAGTTATAGGCTGCTTTGTGAAGGAAGTTCCTCAAAGAAGTGGGGTATGCATTTGTAAACAAATAAAATAAAACTTAAGGAAGTGTGGACCACATTCCCCCCTCCCCCAAATTCGCAAATATTATCTAAGATTCATTAACCTTCCTTTGAAATTCCATAGATATTTTGTCTGACAGGTTTCAATGTGCCATGCTCCTGTGTGGTGGTGTTCCACATGGTTGATGTATCATATGAAAACTCCATGATATGTGCATTGCCTCAACTGCAGGGAAGACTCTCCCATCAGAACCACATAGCCATGGCAGAAGCTCATCCTGGCAAGGAGAAACAGCGTGCGATTTAGTTGTCACACATGGTAAGGCACTTTCAGATTCATGCCTGCCTCGGGACTACTCTGCATACAAACAAAATAATGGATTTCATGGTAGGTGCATCACTGAAGCTGCACTCGGTCATTCAAACTCTCCCCTCCACCCCCACCCCTGGCCCTGTTATTTGAAGGAAGCCCCATTCATTCCACCAGGCTGTGCAACTGCTTTGAAAAGGCTCCCTGATTTCATAAAATGGTTACTCATTCAAGCCCAGCCTTTAAACAGATGGTCCCACCTGGAGCAGTGAAAGCTGTAAAGGGGAAAGCATTTCCCAGATATTATAGATGATGGTGGACATAGCTCAGTTTTAAAATATGTATGATACATTGCGCACATAATAAATACACTTTTATTACAGAACAATGCTTTGTATTATTTAATATGGAAATGTAATATGTTCTACAAGGGCCTTGTTCTGCCCTGAACAGAAATTGAGATTATGTGAGAATATGCGAGAATATGACCATGTTGGGCAAAGAAGTGGTTTTCTGATGCCTGTTATGTGAAAAACCCATACTCTTTGCCAAGAATATCCTTGATAATCAACTAATAAGGGCATATCACCAAAAGCAGTGCTCTTTCGTCCTCTATATTTCTGGATGCTTGAAAGCCAAGTATTATTATTATTATTCTTTTAAAACAAAACCAAAAAACAAAAACACCTCCATATGCCAGTGTTAGTGCAAATGCAGCTGTTTGAGGGCCTGCAGTGAATTTTATTTGAAATGTTCATTAGCTAAACTCAGGCAGCTGCAGTTCATTAAAAAAAATTAGCGTATTAAATGTAAAATAGCAAGCTGTGATGAAAAGGTGAAAACAAGTACTTTGTCTATAAAATACCTTTGAAAAATCGAATTATGAAGAATTGCTCCTCTATCCTCAGGGCAACGAGAGTGTTGCCTGTTACCATAAACTCTAGGGGTTCATTTGGGAAGAGGGAGAATGAGCAGCACTTCTTTCCTTCCTTTCTCTTCTCTGCCTGCCTATGGAGAAATATGCTGGAATAGGCAAGTCCCACAGCTGAAATATTGATGCTTGGCCCCAGACTAGAGCTGTAGTTTTAGCACAAAAGATGGCATTAGAATGTTTCCCAGTCACCAGGTGGTGGCAATGAGATTGTGATTCACACAGGAGGAATTTGTTAGGCTAGAGGCTGATGGCCCTTATTCATGTTGCTCATCAGGACTATCCCAGAAGGTATGCATCTTTTTCGGGGGTAAAATATTTTTATTGAATATTTTCACATAGGGGAAACAGATTATAAATAAACAGACAAAAAATAACAGCACATCACAAGGCAACGTCATAGAAGCACCACAATGATGATTATCAACCTACTGAAATACAGAACAAACAGTACAAGGACTATTCAAACCCAAGGCTCCATATGTTGTATTTAATGAGACCTGAACAATGTGTATGGACCATAACTTTCGTCTCTCCCTGTGCTCAGTCCTTTGAAACCTAGATCCAGCTATTAAACAGTCACAGTGGTTTGCCTGATGAAGTTTAAAAATGTAGAGACTTTGTGACTTTGTTCAACTTCTTCCTCTTCTTTCTTTTCGTTGTCCATTTACGGTACTCCCAAACTCCTGGTTCAGCATACTCAGCATATACAGGGCTGGCCCTACTGTTAGGCAAAGTTGGGGTTATTGCCTCAGGCAGCAGATGCTATGGGAGGGGGTATCCCCTCCCTGTACTAGCCTGCTATCTTCAGGTGCAGTAGAGGCTACTATCACCTCACCAGGGTTGAAGCAAGATTCAACTGCCAGTCCCCTTAGCTTCTGAGCATGGAATGCGGGGAATACCATCTTGTCCTTTGCTTCAGGCAGCAAAATGTCATGGGCAGGCCCTGAACACATTTCATGTTTGGTGGCTGTTTGCACGTAGCCTGAAATTTTTCTCCACACCCACACAAACCTTCTTGTTGGACTGTTGCTCAAGGAGAAAAGAGCTCCAGTTGCACAGGAGCTGTTATGTGTGGGATGTGATACATAAGTAGCAGTCAAGTACAACATTGCCTAGAGTGGACATGCAAAGGGGATATTTGTTCCAGCCAGTCGAAAACATTCTGTTTCCTCCTGGGCTGGAGCATCCTTCCTCCTACATGTGACTAGAGGTGGGTGTGACCTTACCTGTGCAGGTAACAAAAGCACAAGGCACACAGCCATCTCTCTCCTGTTGGACTTCATCGTTGGACCAGCAGTTTTTTTAGCCAGAAAGCCATGCTCTGTTGGCTTTCAGCCAGACAAAGAGACTATCTCCATATGGGATAGACTCACGTGTGTGTGTGTGTGTGTGTGTGTGTGTGTGTGTGTGTATATATATATATATATATCTGTAACTAAGTCTGCCTTCAGGGATCCATCTCTGAACTGATGATGCTGTGAGTAAACTACTTTTATATATCTTAAATAAGACTGTGGCGTGTTTATTCTTTTAAGAGGAATAATAAGGAGACTTACCAGGAACCAGATAATGAGAGGCTTAAACAAGCCTACAATCAGCTACCTCGTGTGCATTTAAAAGGGGAATGTAAAACTCTGCTAAGTTATAGAACTTGCTAGCACAAGTTAGGAAGGATATTAATAAACAATATATCCTCTCCTGCCTCCCTGAACATTATGCACAAACAACTTCCCGTGTGAGAAAATCTGCCATGCAGGGCAATTTGAAATGACTTCTGTTTGGCAGGTATAATGCAACGAGCTACTGAGTTTCCCAATTTGCTCTGCT